TCACACCAACTGCAAGTCCACTGACAACACGACCGGCGACCAAATGCGTCACGTTCTGTGCACTACATTGAACCATGGCACCCACGATCCAAACAAGGGATGCAATCATCAATGCATAGCGACGACCAAGTATATCTGATAGCCAACCTGCTGCAATTGAACCCGCGAAGGAACCAGCAGACATCGAGGCTGTAATCTATGACGGAATATCAGCACGTGAAGCAAAATTGGAAACGGAGAGAACATACTCCGCCTTGGAGGTTGGAGTCTGGCGAGCCGAAGTAATCTGTGTATGTATCAACGCCAATCCAGGCGCTCATGGAGCTATAGCTCGTATTAGTTTCCATGCCATCATATTCAGGGAAAGGGAAGTCGAATGTACATACCTCACATCGAAGCCGAAAAGAGCACCTCCAATAGTACCAAAGGCAGCAAGCACTGTCGAATGTTAGTGTCACGAATACACGCTTAACAGCCAGGCTGCACATACCGTAAATATTCGTTATAGTATACATTGTGGTTAGACCATGAATGTTGTCAGTCGAAGGTTTGGGCTTGCGGCATGGCGTTTTATAAGTAAAGTAGTAACAGATCGACAGGTCAATGCACGATTCGGTCGGGCTACGCGAGGTTGCATGGTACGATTCCGGCGGGAAAGATCAACGGCAATGAATTGCGGAGCGAGAAACCCGGGGCATAAAAGTCGGGGGTGGACACGGCGTCATTGGCCTTTTCGACCCAGTCGGGGCATTCGAAACCCCCATATTAACCGAGATGGTATTTATCCGGATGATCGTCGGTTCTAGATGGGATGTGTATTTCACGCGGGTAATTTGGGCAATTTCATTCCGATATGGTTTGTATTCTGCCTAATATCATTATACCTTCTCTCCTCGCTCTCAAAGGCGAGCTCGGCCCGTTTCTCACGATGGATCGGCATACCGACGTCATGCTTTCAGACAAACTTGTAGAAAATTGGTGTTGGGCTTCGCGACGGATATAGATGAGGTCTATATTTGTCCCGGGAAGATGAGCTCCTAGACAAGATATGTATGTGAAAGGGTACTCCATAAGTGATCGCTAGATCTGGCTATTTGAGAAAGCAAAAAGAATTCCGGGTAGAAAAGAGGAGACGGAGATGGGAAGCAGAGTGAGAATGTGAATTTCATCAGCGGCAATTTCAGTCGATATCAGAATATAGGTCCTCAATGTCCTATTTGCTCAAAGCCTTTGTTAGTTTGCTGGGGAAGGTCGGGTAAATTATATCGAGCTGCGTATATTGCCTTTTCAATGCTCCACATGGATGAACCCCCGTGTTATTTTCTTATATCTTTTGCACTTGCATTCACCTGCTTCGAAGTTCATATCACTATGTTAATATTTCGGTGATGTCTCGGTGGCCCCTAGGAGCATCTTGCTGTATGAGACTGGTCTTGACTGGACTATATAGTTCGCCAAGCTGTTCGGACTTCCATAATATCTTTGTATATCGGATAAATTTGCCTGTAAGGTCTTTTTTCCTCTTTTTCCTCTTTTTTAATATCTCTCAGTCATTGAAAAATTGAGATTCCGTGCCGCGAAACAATATCGTCATCGTCGTCTGGGATGGCACTCATCTCAGACATATCTCGAGAGGAGGCAATATCCAGGGCTTCAATACTCGAGACAGTGGGTTAAGTCACAAATGAGCCAGCTCAGCTGTCAGTTTGTATCCCTGATAGTCCGGTTCCCCATACGTGGTTTCGAGAAGATTCTCATAGAAAGCGAACATAGTCAGACAGGCACATTCTAGGAGACACATTAGGACCAAAGCTTAGTGATTGGCATGTGAAAGCTCAGAAATGGGCTCTTTAACATGGCAAGTACTCGGATCAGGTACTCCGTAGTGCTATCACTCTAGGGCCATCTAGATACATTACAACAAGCCTCCAAAAGGATCATGTAGATTAACCACAAAACAGGGATCGAACAGAATCATTGGCCATTCTATGAGATCTAGGTATATAGCTCATCTCTCTATGGTCTATAGTTCAAGCCAAAAAGGCGTAAAAAATACATCGGAAGAACACAGTATGTCGCAAAACCACAAATTTACAGCTTGCTCTTGGCCGGCTCATTCTTGAGCAATGCCGAATTCCATGGGTAAGGGTCAAACACCAAGTCGTTAACAGGGTTCTCCTCGCTTGCCCGACGGAAGAGATCCTCGTACACCTTGCCGTCATAGCGACCCAGGCTGCTGTCCAGTTGCCAGTCCGGAATCGCCCAGGCATCGACCAATCGGACAGCGTGCGGGCGGATCTCATCGAGCAGTTTGAGTACTGCAGTAGTGCGAGTCAGGGTGATCTGTCGCACAGTAACAGCACCAGAAGAGAAGAACTCAGCCGCTTCGCGCTCCAGAGTGTGCAGTGAGAAGAGTCGGAATAGTTGGTGCATCATGCCCTTAGTCTCTGGATCCAAGGCCGCTGATAGTTGGGGAGAGGAAACCGCCTCGTAGAAGTTCTTCACCATCATGTACTGGGAGTGAGCCGTAGACAAGCGCCAGAAGTCAACCAAAAGGCTGTTCCAGGAGCGCTGCTCAGCATCCCGATGCTTCAGAGCCTCGAAAGTCAGATGGGCCGTGCGCCATGCAAAGGCAGCCACAATGTCCTTGTCCTCATCGAGCACATCGAATGAAGCTCCCTTGTCGCGACGGTCGAGGTATGTCTGGAGGATCTGGCTAGTGTCATTACGGGCCGGCTTGCCAGCCAGGACAGCGCGGGCAGATTTAAGAAGCTGTCGATAGGGTTAGTCTCGAGCGATTAAAATAAAAGAAAGAACTGTGACATACATAGCGTGCAACCTGTTGGGTCAACATATAATTATCACCTTCCCAGGTCAATGTGGGTAGGTAGTCCGCGTAGCAGGGTCCAATGCCGCTGTAGCTGCTGTATCCATGACCACCACATGCGCGGCGGCAGACCTCCAATCCCTCACCAGCAGTGGTACTGGCTAGAGCCTTGAGGCCACAGGAGGTAGCATGCAGATCCGCAAGGAGGTTCGCACCAGCGCGGAGCTGCTCTGGTCCAGCGCCCCGCGACTCCTGGTCGGGCGAGCTGGCTGCCTTCATGCGGCTTTGATTCTCCTCATACAAACGCATCATACCACGACCGGTGAAATGCAGGGCGTACATGGATGCCAACAACGGTAGCAGGCGCACCTGCACCATCTTATAGTTCAGTACTTGGGTTTCACCCGCGTGTGGATCGGCATCACGATCCTGGAATTGCCTCCGAACCGCACAGTACCGGGTGGCAATAGTGACACCGCGTGCCAGAACACCGCCGGCATCAAGAACAATGTTGGCCCGCACCCAAGTCATAGTACCAAAGACAAGAGATGGCATCGCGGGCTTAGCGTAGGAGTTCGTCTCCTTGTTGACCTGACAAAAGCGGGCCAGCATGCTGACATGGGGTACTTTGACCTTGTTGAACAGCAGGAAACCGTTATCCATGGTGCTAATAACCATTAGTCCCGGCGCCAGCCAAAAAGTGAGAAGGGACTTACTTGTAGCCAAATTTGGGGCCAATATCGCCCACATATACATTGTCCAATGGCTGATGGGTTTCGAGGTCACGAATCTGCACGACAAATGGGTGGGGACCGTAGTTCTTGCCATCAATAAACAGCTGGGCCATGACCACAGCATGATTGGCCGTGCGACCAAGAGATCCAATCCACCACTTCGAGGCAGTCAATGTTGGGGAATTGATGGTGAATGTCTTATCGTTGGAGTTCCAAGTGGCAGTGGTTTCCAAGCCCCGCACGTTCGATCCGTGGCCCAATTCTGTTTGCGCATAGCAACCGATGATCTCGTATTTTTCGGCACGTTCAAGGAAAAGTTTGTGCTGCTCGGGGGTGCCTTGTTCACGGAGGGTCACCTAGATAACGATCCAAATGGTTGGTTGGAATTCTTGGAAGGAGTCCAATTCACTTACCAGGAACATGCTGGCGTGCAACCCATACGGAGTAGGTTCACCGATCAAATCATTGGCTGCATGGAGCTCTTCCATTGACCATTTGTGCTCTTCGGCGAGCTGTTGGAGGCGCTTGGCCTTGCCCAGCGACCGCTGGAGCCGCTCTACGCGGCCCAAACTATGATTTTGAGATTTATCAAACACCTTTTCCGGCTGCAAAAGAGCCAGGAGGTTTGCTCGTCGCTCCAAGGTCTCCTTTGTGTGTAGATACTCGGATAATCTTTCGACATTGACATTCGATTGAGCACGCTCTTGCTCGAGGAGCTCAGATCCTTGCGGACCTGACGGCTTCAGGGCCTTAACCCAATCGGGAGGAGGTGTTGGCATTGTGGAAAAAGAAAGATTGGGGGATATGTGTGGGGGAATGGAAAAGAGAGAAGGGGGAAAGATGGGGTTATGAACCCCAGAGAGAAAGGGAACCTTGGGAAGGGCCGAGGGTCTCAATTGGGAAAGAGCCTCGGCTTAAATTTGCTGACTCAGCAGGTACGATCCGGGGCCGGGGCAATGGGCCCGGGGAACTTGCAAGCCCCAAAGGATTGTCTTTTGCCCTTTCATACTTGTTAGAACCTTTCATTTCTCTTTAACTATGGATAAGATTATTAATTCATAAGTCACCCCGCAAATTTCTAATTTGATATGGGGAAGCATGGAGAAAATACATTCGGTCTTCTTTCACGGCTTAACTGGTCCCGAAACCATGAGCCGATCGGGCCTTAGACTAATGAGATCACCGAGTACGGAGTACCCCGTTGTAACTGTTGTGGAAACTGACCTCGGTTTGTGTTTTACCCTTGACACTTGACATAAATTGTATCATACGGTCGAGAGTTTTCAATCGGCAAAAAAAAAAAAAAAGAACCACGTGAAACGGGAGTACATTGCATAGTGGACGGGATGGGCGAAAAGTCCGAGATAAAGAATCGGATCTGATAACAAAAAGTTCCCCGAATCATTTTCACATGTCAACATGTGAGGTTTTTTTTTATTTTATTCATTGTGTCTAACCTTAGACACCCGCGGCAATCCCAACCATGTAATGAGAATGGCCCCGGACAGAGCAATGATAAATGGCTGCAGCACTTTCACCCCCTTGGCTTGTGCAAGCACGCCGACCGCAAAAGGGAGAATGGCGGCCCCACTACCCCCAAAGGCAGCGACAAACCCTATGGAGGTGACATGCAAGTGCCGAGGAAGAAGCTTGGTAACCATTATAACTGCCCCAGGGAAAAGGGGGCCCAGGAAGAAACCTTGCAGAGACACTGCCACGGCCGATGCATAGAACTGGGGCACAAGCCATAGGATCAAAGCAAACCCCATGGAGCAAACAATGTACACCTGGTGGCATTCAGTCTCTTTCTATCGCAAAGCAGCGTGATACTCACCGAAACTGCGACTTTCTCGCCGACGCGGGGGGTCACAAATCCTAAAATTACCCGTCCCACCGTGATACCCAACCAGAACCCAGTGGCCGTCATCCCGCTAGCAAAAGCACTCCCTTGTCGGACTCGGATCATAAAAGTAACAATCCACCCTCCCAGCGCGACCTCTACTCCAACGTATCCCAACAAGAACAAAGCGCAGAGCCAGGTTACCCGGGCAGCCGGTTGCTGGAAGAGTGCATCTCTCAAGCCACCTTTTTTGTTCTCCGCTGATGGTACGTTGGATGCGCGGAAATCGGCGGCCGTTGATTTCCAGAAGCATGTGCCCGAAACCACCAATTCGATGGCCGCACATCCGATCTGACTATTAACCCGGGGTCAAATATCTGCGAGGAACCTTCACTCACCATGACATAATAAAAGTAATACCACGGCAGACCACCCTTGGCAATCATGGAGGTTGCGACCAGAGGACTCATAACTGCACCGGCTCCATAGATGCCATGCAACACTCCCAACACCTCATTTGCGTTGGCCATGTTACCAATCCATGCATTCCATGCAGCATCCTCTAGGCCATTCCCCAACCCTGCAAAGATGAATGCGACCACTAGTACTGGATACGGCGGATGAACGCAGTTGATCACATAGGCAATGAGATGGCACGCTGGCCCGATAATGGCCACACCGCGTTGACCTAGTGTATAGTGGATGCGGTGATTAAGAAACGCGGCGACCGTATAGCCCACTAGAGGCGACAAGAAAACGAGAGACACAATCGTGTATGATAGATTGTAGTATGATTCCAGCTGTATGCTGGATGAGACAGATTGTTATACATTTTAGGGGCTTTCACCTTACGTATGGAATTAGTGCCTGCGAACAGTCAGCAAAGATCTCAAAAGGGAATGGAACTCAGCTGGGCTATATCAACTTACACCATAGGCTGCATCATTCGCTCCCATGACCAAGAATGACCAGAATGTCGCAAAGGTCCGATAAATATTGACGCGAGGCTGATTCCATTTCTCCAACAACGGAAATCCTTCAGCGGGATCCGAAGCTGGAGCTGTGTCTGACTGGGCAGGCAAAGCCTCCAGGGCGAGACTCGCATCGCGCGATTTTTGAACACGGGTAGTTGCCATGTGTGATATAGACTAGTTCTGGTTGCATAAAGAATCAATAGGAATAATATTTCGAAGGTGCTCGGTGAGTTAACCTTGCCGGATTGAGATGTCCCCCGCAATCCTACGGTAGAACATCGGACCTTTGAATTACCAAACACCATATAGTTCTTTTGGGTCAGTTCTTACGCTTATTATATCTACCAAAAGGCCATATAAAGACTGTTTGGGTAGAAGAATTCTATCATTGAGTTGTGAAGGGGAACATCTGTGTCAAAGGCATTCCGTGATTACAGCTCTGAACCTTCAGTTTTCGATTGACATATATTTGAGATTTTGTTGAGTACATTCCAATAACTTCCTCCCATTGGATTTGACGTCTACCCGAACAAAGTGTTGGATCGTTGAACTATCCCGTGAATTCTATATATATCACATTTTCCCACTAACACTTCATTTAAAAGACCTTCCCCCTCTGTAAATACGAACTCGCGCCACATTTTGGATTCCACGGGCGTTGTTTTTCCACCAATCAAAATATATTCATTCACATATAAGCCAACCCGATCTGTTAACACATTTTAACAACAATGAGTTACGTTAATCCCATCATTCCGGGGTTTAACCCCGACCCATCGATCGTTCGTGTGGGTAAAGACTTTTTCTTGGTTACCTCCACGTTTGAATACTTCCCTGGAGTTCCCATTTACCACAGCCAGGATTTGATTAAATGGAAATTGATCGGTCATGCGTTGACACGACCAAGCCAGCTTCAAATCCATACACCAGAACCGGGAGGCGGAGTATGGGCAACCACGATTCGGTATCATGCGGGGGTTTACTATATCATGGCAGCGAGCTTTCAGCGTTATCGTCCTCAACAAGATGACCGAGTTTGGCCACAGGGATTCTATGTCAGAACGACCGATATATGGAATGACAAGACATGGTCTGATCCAATCTATTTTGATCAAGTTGGTTTTGACCAAGATGTGAGTTTTGAACAAGGGCATCATCACCTATAAGGATAACGAGAATGACAGTTGAATACAGCTTTTTTGGGATGACGATGGAACCGTATATTTATCGTCCACCTACAGAAAGACTCAGCCAACTGCTGGTGCTAAGCTGAAAGACTTTGCGATTCATATATGCACTGTTGATCTGGTCACGGGACATTCGACATCAGCACCTAAATTGATCCGGGAATCTTCTTCTGGTGTTGCCGAGGGGTCACATATTTTCAAACGCGGTCGTTATTGGTATTTGTTCACAGCAGAAGGTGGTACTGAAAGTGGCCATAGCGAATGGGTGAACCGCAGTGAGGTCAGTCCGTTGGGACCGTGGGAGCTTGGACCAAATAACCCTCTGTGGCGCAATGGTGTGGAGGACGAAGTGCAGAACACCGGGCATGCCGATCTGGTTGAGGACACCAATGGGCAGTGGTGGGCAGTTGTTCTCGGCGTTCGTCCTTTAAGACGGGGAGATACGTGGGAAGAATCAGTCCTAGGTATGATGTCTCGAAGTATTGGCTGGTTATTATACTAACATTCCTAGGCCGAGAGACATTTCTCGTTCCTTTGGAATGGAAGGACGATTGGCCTGTGATCAATGGGGGACAGAAAATCAGTCTCAACTCCCATGGACCTGGTCTTTATCAGTTTCATACTCCGGTTTCTTGGAGAGATGAATTCTCGGAGCCAGAAATGGAAGTTGGTTGGTATCGAAAAAGTGAGCCCCGACGAAGGAACCCACCTGAGCCAATCTGACCAGAAAATAGACACACCCTTCGTAAATGACTACTCCCTTACGGAGCACCCCAATCATCTTCGTCTCCATGGTGGACCCTATAACCTGTCAGTGCCAGCCAGTCCAACCATGTTCCTTCGCAAGCAAACCCACCGCCTCTGCAGGTGGGAAACAATGCTCTCCTTTCAACCGACGGTAGACGAAACCGAGGCTGGTACTGTGGTCTGGTTAAACTATTTTACATATAGCAGCATCGGTATCAGGAAGGATACCAAGGGCCGTTTCATCCGTTTTCGGCCATCGGAGGGTGACATCGTGGAGCATAGATTGAATACAAACACTGCTGTCACTCTCACAGTTGACTGTGGCACCGAGTATCGATTTGGGTATCGTGAAGGCACAGAATCTGAAGTCCACTGGATTGGTTCAGTTTCTAACAGTGCTGCTACGGCGGCACCTCCCGTTGGGGCCAACTTTACCGGCATGATGTTGGGGCTGTATGCGTTTGGAGAGCGTCAGCGATGCCTGGCCCCAGCTGATTTTGCGTACGCAGAATTTAGATAAGACAGCAATGTTCCTGTGCTGGTGTCGCTGTCTATTTAGAAACATTTTAAATGGCGAGACCATTGACATATCTTCCGACATCTCATCCATCTTTACTCGTATATGTACTATGCATGTGGATCTATTGTGGTGACCATACGGAACGTCATATCTTAACTCCGTGATCAACTCCGGTCGCCAAGCAATCCGATTGGAGACTCGGAATTTTGTTTCTTCCTCTGGCATAGGATCCATCTTCAAAACTGCCGGCGTAAGCAAAGCGCTACACCTTAGTGCTGATAGCCAAGATGTCCGAAACCTTGGAAATTGACCCAATCTCTATCGATGACGCTGAGCAAGTGACGGACAACTGGTCTGGATTGACTGACCCGGCCGAACGCCGTCGACGACAGAACCGCATAAACCAGAGGGCTTACCGTATGTTGCATTCGCTGCAGCCTGTTCTTGAGCTAATCTTTGCTAGGCAAGCGCAAACGACTGTCATCAGCCAAAGACATCCATCCTAAGAGCTTAGTACCCCCCCTCGTTCAACCTCTACCGCCCAATTGCAAGACTGCTCTCAAGGCAATCCAAAAGTCAACCTCTGCCGTAGCCCCGAAGTTTTACAAAATCTTCTGGACAGATTTGCCAAGTCAGCGTATGAAAGTTATGCACGGGGAAACCCGACTGCCGATCATCTTATGACATTGACCAAGGTTAATGTCTTCCGAGCATTCGCCCACAACTTGCGATTAATTGGTTGGTCCGAGTACTGGATGGACGACGACGCAATTTCACCGTTCAGTACAGCTTTGCCACACAAGGCCTCCACCCTGGACGATAACAGCCTCATTCCAACGAACTTGCAGCCCACTCGAATCCAGAAATCAATACCCCATCACCCATGGCTGGACTTCTTTCCTTTTCCCAAGATGCGGGATAATCTCATCGAAGCTGGGGATGATTGGGATGACGAGCAGCTCTGTCACGATATCATGGGTTTCTGGGGGAGTCAACGATGGATGCAGGGCTACTAGTGTGGGGAGAGCCTTGGAATGTGCAGAACTGGGAGGTGACTGAGCCGTTTCTAAAGAAATGGCAATGGGTTGTTCGAGGGTGCCCCGAATTGATGAACGCAACAAATAGTTGGCGTGCCCGCCGAGGGGAGAGGCTAATATTCCGCTACATTTGAACCGGCATCAAACCCTTATTACTGAGCAGCCTAGTAATAGGGGTAGCGGTAAGTGCATTGTTGTAAACCAGGCGATAATGCAGGCTGCTGACAACCTAGTTAGTCTTGCAGATCGGGAATTTGAGACGGCGACAGATGTCTTAGCGCATCGCGCGTTGCACTTCATTCCATGGAAGAGGGTACAATATTGAGTTCACAGTGATCATCACCATCTCGATCAGTGACGAAACGGGTCTGCGATGGATTTCCCTAGCTTCTTGCAGCGAGGAGTTGGATCAAGAGTGTGTCCGTAGCCTTTCTTAGTGGATATTTGAACCCTGTGCCGTTCTAACACATTGGAAAGTAGCCCACTTTGTCACGACAAGTCAGCCGCCGTATTTTATCGAACTTCCCCAACTCCCCATGGCATATCTCTTACCTAATTTCGTCATTGTGCGACTGAACGACAAAATCGTTTTCCTTGTCAGTACTTTCTAGCCTAGATGGATGGTATCACGGAAAGAACGGATGGGCAAAGTAAGAAAGGAACAAAGAGACCCGAAAAGGCCGTGGGAAGCAATACAAGAATGACGACAACGACAATCTTGTCTACTTGGGCAATTCTCCTTTTCCATCCTTGCTGAACGTGAAAACTCCATCTACTACGCCACTGGTTGCTCAAGCGAAATGGGTACGACCACCAGACCGGTGATCGTTTGATTTGCCATCTCGTGTACCAGGACCCAATAGAAGACTTTGGCTTGGTGGGCACCAAACCCCCAGTTATTACGAAGACTTGAAAAAGCCAACGAAAGGAGACATCCATATTTTGGAAATTTGCGCCACTGCATGGCAGCCGCGGTTTTTCATGGTTTTGCTCTGATATGCACTTCACGTACTAATGCATTAAATATGTATCTGTACACCTGCAGTTCTGCAGTTCTGCCAAGATTACTCCGTATAACCTGAGCTATATGAAATGTGATACCGTCTTCCGGATATATTGTCCGGGACTCAAGTTGCACATCTATGTAAGTAAACCCTGATTTCGAAATCTCTCTTATGCAGAGTGACAAATCTACTTGACTCTGTGATACCTGCTGTGGTCAATATTAATTAGCCCTATCCCATGGGGGTTGTTGCAGTCTAGTAGACTGGAATTAGGACTTTGCCTTAAGTATGGTGGATAAAAGTGGGGCCATAAGTAGACTGGAATACTTTTCGTGAGTAGACTGGAAAAGCTTCTCGTACGAGGATGAAGCTCAAAATTTGTAAAGTTCTATTCTAGACTATAAAGATTATGGTCACCGAATTTTAGAGTAATTGACCAAGTTATAAAGGTGTGGTGGCTGATTGAAAATCGGAATTATTTTTGATGGGGTGCGACCGTACGAAGGGCCAGCACTCTTTAACTTTATTTTAAAATATATATTTTAAGTTAGGATTACTTATAGATTCATATTCTAATCCATGGTATATTTACATGTTGTCCCATTATTGATTTTTTCGTACAATTTAAGCTCTAGGTAGGAGTGTCAAGATTGTTTGGTCCATGGTATATTTACATGTTGTCCCATTATTGATTTTTTCGTACAATTTAAGCTCCAGGTAGGAGTGTCAAGATTGTTTGGTCCATGGGATATTCATGCCTTGTCCCATTATTCATGTATCATCCATTAGTGATGTCTCGTACGATTCAAGCTCTAGGCAGGACTGTCACAATTGTTGGGTCCATGGCATATTCATGGCTTACCCTATTGATGAAGGCTTGTCCTATTGATGAAGGCTTGTCCTATTGTTCATGTATCGTCTATTGATGATATCTCGTACGATTCAAGCTCTAGGCAGGACTGTCACAATTGTTGGGTCTATGGTATATTTATGGCTTATCCTATTATTTATACCTTATTATATTATTGATATCTCGTACAATAAATGCCTCTGGTAGCAATATTTATTTTCATAGCTGTATAAGGTAACAATATTACCTAATCTAGTAATCACCTCTATTGTTGTCTAGTAGATATTTAATTCTTAGTTTTCCTCCCACTTCTCTCTTTTGATATATAGATAGTTATAATACTAGAAGTAAAGTGATATATATCCCTATAGAACGTACGAACTAGGAGTTAAAGTAAGAAGTTAGGAAGCGTATAAACTAGAAGGAGAAGTTGGATAGTATAAGGTATTTCGTAGGCGAGCTACGCACCCTACCTAAAATATATTCATTAATTTAATAGTTTCTTCTTTCACTTCGTACGAAATATGACGGCCCTATAATAAAAGGTAATAATAAGGAGTGAATTCTACGGCTAGGGTTTACTTTTACAACGTAGAAATTATTAATAGGTGACTATTATTAAGTATACGAATTCATTTAGCTAGGGGCTTCCTCTATATATAATTTTTAAGGGTAAAGTGTTTATTAAATTATAGTTCGAAGGCCTACTAAATGACTAGTATATATTCTAAGGAGATAATATATAAATATATATTATAAAGAATATCTTGAAGTAGTTTAAGGGTTATATAATAGAGCCTAAAGCTATCCGTATCCTATAGGGGTAGTTATAGTGTAGTAGACTCGAATTAGGAGTTTACGTTAACTATAGTAGATAAAAGTAGGGCTATAGTAGACAAAAGTAGGGCTATAGTAGATAAAGGTAGGGCTATAGTAGACTAGAATAGTTTTATAAGTAGATTAGAAAAGCTTCTTATATAAAGATAAAGTTTAAAATTTATAAAGTTCTATTCTATACTATAAAGATTATAGTTAGTAAATTTTCGAGTAATTAATTGAGTTATAAAGGTATAGTAGGTAATTAAAAATTCGAATTATTTTTAATAGGGGATAACTATACGAGGGGCCCGCACTCTTCGACTTTATTTAAAAATATATATTTGAACTTTGATATTATATATATTTCTATATTATCCTACTAAGATTTTTTGATATAGGATTAAATATATAACTATAAGTTAGAGCTAGGAGTTGGAGCTAAGAGCTAGAGCTAGAGCTAGGAGTTAGAGCTAAGAGCTGGGAGTTAGAGCTAAGAGCTAGAGCTAAGAGTTAGAGCTGAGAGCTAGAGCTAGAGCTGAGAGTTAGAGCTGGGAGTTAGAGCTGAGAGCTAGAGCTAGAGCTGAGAGTTAGAGCTGGGAGTTAGAGCTGAGAGCTAGAGCTAGAGCTGAGAGTTAGAGCTGGGAGTTAGAGCTGAGAGCTAGAGCTAGAGCTGAGAGCTAGAGCTGGGAGTTAGAGCTGGGAGTTAGAGCTGAGAGCTAGAGCTGAGAGCTAGAGCTAGAGCTGAGAGCTAGAGCTGAGAGCTAGAGCTGGGAGTTAGAGCTGGGGCTTAGGGCTTAGGGCTTAGGGCTTAGGGCTTAGGGCTTAGGGCTTAGGGCTTAGGGCTTAGGGCTTAGGGCTTAGGG